GGCCTGCGACAGTGAATTTTCATGCTTCAGGTATTTGGCTCTGGCTGCTAATCGATTGGTTGCCTACGAGAGGGGAAGCAGGCACGGAGGCTCCAAATGCATTTACGAGGCGTTGGAAAATGCATTTAGCTTCGTTCCAAGCTTTGTAAAAGATCGTTGCCCTCAGCATCCAAATATACAGCTTCCAGGAGGCCAATGTGGTTTGGAAGCACAAAAGCAGCCTGGAGCATCAAAAGCCAAGTGCCCGGCAACGATAATGATTTCGCTGTCTCCATGTGTACTGGCTGCCTGTTGGCTTTCACACTGGATTGTTCGGAAACGCTCCAAAACCTGCGCAGCAAGGCCTAAATGCATTTTGCACGCCCCCGTAAATGCATGCGGGCCTCTCTGGATCATGAACAGTCTCTGGGTCACCGGCTTCGAGAAACAATGACAGCTACGAGCGCTTGTGTCACTCTTTCGACCGAGTTGCCCCATGTAAGTAACTAATCCTGTCACTCTTTCGAGCGAATCACCTATCACTCTTTCGAGCGCATCTAGACTAAACACCCCAAAAGGCACCGTCTAATCTTATCAGATTGTCACTCTTTCGAGCGAATTGACACTGCATCCACAAAAAACCCTGACCTAAACTAATCCTATCACTGTGGAGTAAACACCAACAAAGCGCCGTCTAATCCTTTCAGATTATCACTCTTTCGAGCGAATTGACACTAAGCTGGGCAAGGCTCGGATGCATATTTTACGACAGCCTGCGAAATCTATTTATTATGCATGTTTAACCCTAATATCCTAGGACAGGTGGCAGCAGGTAATGCTTTCAGAGCTGACTTTGACCTGGGTCGCTGGCAGCACTGTTGAGCATGGGCTTGCAGTCGTCTGGCCTTGAGAAGCGCGCACAGAAATAACGCGGAAATCGAGCCGTCAGCAAATGCGAGCAATCGGAACTTTTAAATCGAGGTGGCACGAGAGGCTCTCTCAGGTGACTTTGATCTGGCTATCTGGGTCCCCGGCAACACTGTCCAGCATGGGCTTGCTGTGGTCTGGCCTTGAGAAGCGCATACAGAAATAAGGTGGAAATCAAGCCGTCAGCAAACGCGAGCAATCGGAACTTTTAAATCGAGGCCACCGCATTCTGAAAGATTGCAATTGCCAGCGACCTGGGCAGATGAAGATTCAACTCACAATCCCACGCAGTCATGCACGAAATGGTGAACTCTGCAGAACTCTTTGAATCCGTTTTCCGCTCACCGCCCACGCCGCTGCCTCTTCTGCCGCTGCCGCTCCAGCTCTGCCGCGACTTCAGCATCTTCACGCTCACGTTGTGCACGGCGTTCTGCAACGAGAGCAGCTGCCCGGGCCCGAAACTCCGCCTCGAAGATGTTGAACGATGCGACCATCTGCCTCTCGCGATTGTACCACACATACTCTCGTGGATCTGAAAGGTAGATGCACCACAATTGCCACCCATCCGCAGCCACTGCATCGTGCCCATCAGGGAGGATTGGATCAATCTGAGTCTGATGATTACGGAAAAGTAGGTATTTAGGAATGAAGTCCGAGTTACTGTGCTCTTAGGGAAAAAAGTGCAAAGCACAGCCGAGCATCGACATGGAACTGCACCGGCCTTCGGAAGCTCATGGTTCTTCCCTTCTCATTGAAGTAGTACCAGCGGCCATCACGCAACAGGGTACGGCACCATCCACGCGCCAGCTTTTGATCCATCTTAGTACCGCAAGGGCTCCGAACAATACACCAGGGATCTGGGTCTGTATA